AAATCTTTCCTGCCTGACAGATGCTGACTAAATAACCCTTTCTCTCGTATTTTAGACAAATGGCATTCCTGAACTTGCAGGATGCCCTAAGGTGATTTCCTCCAAAGCTTGGACAGATACGTTGAGATCGTGGAGGTTGACTGGGAACTGACCTGTTTTCCCTCTGACTGGTTTTGGACTGCCTGAAGCGATTTATGTAACTAGTTTCTTCAGGGCCTTCCTCTGTGGAGGCTTCATCATAATGAATGGCTGAGCTGTTCTGACTGACTGGATTTCCCTGAATTTCTGCTGCTGAAAATGCTGACAGCTCTGTAGCTTGAGATTCCTCTATTGCTAATTTTAGGGTCAAATCCCCTTAGCCAATAGACGCCTTTGTAGCCTTAAGTCCTGGACTCCACAAACTAGTTGATCTAATAACATGTTCTCCAGATAGCCTCTAAACCCACAGTGCAAGGCAGCTGTTCGTAAAGCTGCCATATACCCACTAATAGTCCCTCCCTCAGCCTGGGTCCATCTCCTAAAAGCATGACTTGGCAATTTGGGAGGGCTTAGGGGAATAATGGTTAGAAAAAATTTCCTGCAATTCTTCCCATGGAACAGTCTTAATTGAACACGGAGCCAGCAATGCTGTAGCAGTGTCAAACACTGTGGCTCTGCAAAAACATAAAATGTAAGATTTTTTCCTATGGTTGGAAATGTCAGCGAGGTCTATGGCATATAGGAAAAAGTCGAGTCAGTTTCCGTAGGACTCCCATGTCTCTGCTGTCGGTCTGAAAGGCGGGAATGCAGGGTTTGAAGTCATCTCATCTCAGCGGTGGCAGTTCTTCTGAGGAAAGTTAAAATTCGAGCTCACGAACAGTGACAGTAAGCTCTTAAAGTGACATACAGCTCAGTAGTGGCTTTGGATATTTTTTTATTGACTTCGCTCAGCAATTCTTTGCTCTTATATGCATCCCACCCTCATCACCAGTGTAGTGGAGCGGCAGAATAACTGAGGCGAATGAGGAGCAAACTTCAGCTTTAACTTTATTGAAACAATAAAGGGTTGCCGCAACTGCCGCGCTAACAAGGCAGCCAGCTCGCAGGCAACAGCTGATGCCATTTGACAGCTCCCTTTTATAGTCAGCTGTGAAACGCATCAGCCAATAGGAACAGTCCGTGTTCCTGTGGGAAGCACGGCCTGGAGTGAAGACTTCAGCTAAGTCTTTTCAGAACGCAACAATAACAATACAAGAGCAAACATAAGACACAAACTCAAGGTAAACCACACCAAACTTGATTGCAGAAAATACGACTTCAGCAACAGAGTGGTCAATGTCAGGAATACTCTACCTGACTCTGTGGTTTCTTCCCCAAACCCCAAAAACTTTAACCTTAGACTGTCTACTATTGACCTCACCCCTTTCCTAAGAGGTCTGTAGGGGGCGTGCATAAGAGCACCAATGTGCCTACCTTCCCTGTCTTATTTTTTTCTTTTTTTCCCTTATTCGTATCCATTTCATGTATTCATAAGCATGTTTATAGTTATACCTGTTATCTTATAATTGCATCACAAAATAAATAAAAAACATCATCATGTAAGATGAGCATGAATATAATTGAAGTCCATGAAGAGAGAGATACCTGGGGCCAAGTTACTTTCCTAAAAGATTTTTTTTATGTTTGTGTGTTGTGTGTTTATGTTTCTGGGAGAATTAATAAAACCTTGCAGAAATATAGAATGAGAATAATGGTAACCAAGTCAGAAAGAAATAGATGAAATAATAATAGTGAAATTGAATAAGAGTAAAGAGAAGTAAAGAGAAACTGGATAAGAGGTATTTGTATGCTCATATGGAAATGGTTTAAAATAGAATTATATTGTATAAAATAAGGTTTTATTTGACTTGTAAAATTTATAATGGAAAAAGGTTTAAGTATGTAATGGTTAATGATGATTTGTTTGTTTTTAAAAATTAATAAAACTTGTTTAAAAAAAACAAACATCATCCCTGAAAACGAAACATAACACCAACCTATATAGCAACAAAAACACACATTATTAGCCATAATCTTTAATTAAGTCTAAAACCATATCAGAACATCTCTGGGAACAGTTTATCCAGCCTGGTTTCAGAAATTTTATTAATGTCATTGATGATAGTGATGCTTTAACAGGAATTCAGATTATGACAATTGAAAGATATGATTAATTCAAATAGTTTGAATTATTTTAGCAACATTACTACTCAATTATTATAATTCAAAATGCACACAGAATGAAGAAAAATAAGTGAGAATACATAAAACATTACTTCAAGATATGTGCTTTTTATTGGATGTAAACTGAACAAAAATAAACACTAACACAAGGAACCTTAATGAGATTTCATCATCAGATGTTCCTTGGTGTTTATGTCAGGTCTCAGTGTAATAATGTAGCACTTGGGAACAAAAATACAACCCAATAAACCTAGGCTGGAGGCCAAGATGGAGAAGATCTGCACAGCCACCATGTATTTCCCTTTGGTGCTCAGGTAGCTGGGAACAAAGGAGATCCAAACACTACAAAACACCAACATGCTGAAGGTGATCAGTTTGGCTTCATTGAAGGTCCCTGGCAGATTTCGAGCCAGAAACGCCACCAAGAAACAGATGGCAGCCAGAAAACCCATGTAGCCAAGGGCAGTGTAGAACATGGCCACTGAACCTTCGTTGCACAGCAGCAGGATGTGTTCTGGATGGGAATGAAAATCAGAATCTGGGAATGGGGGAAAGATTCCCAGCCATGTCATACAGATGCCTACTTGAATACCAGAGCAGGATAAAACAATCGAGTGGGCCAGACCCTTCCCCAGCCATTTCCTCATCCTGCTTCCTGGCTTTGTAGCCAGGAAGGCCACCACCACCATTACAGTCTTGGCCAGCAAAGAAGATACGGCAACTGAGAAAACAATACTGAAAATGGTTTGTCGAAGGAGACAGGTCATTTTCATGGGGCGACCGATGAATAGAAGGGAAGTCAAGAAAGAAAACAGGAGAGAAACCAGGAGGACGTAGGTGAGTTCACGGTTGTTGGCTTTGACTATGGGAGTTTCTTGGTGTTTAATGAAGATTCCCAGAATAAAGGCAGTGGTTAGGGACAAAGCAATGGCAAAGAAAGCCAGGATCAGTCCCAATGATTTTTCATAAGATAAGAAGCTTATGCTTTTGGGGACACACTGATCCCGCTTCTTATTGGAATACTGGTCATCTGGACACTTTTCACAATGGGCTGCATCTGAAAAAAAATTGGTTAGTGGGTATCTCTTTTTGCTGCTGTAGGAGCATGAAAACCGCATCAGAAATCAATTATTTCATTTTCAAGGAATATAATATTTCTGCCCAGGGATATTCATATGACATGACATTAGTTAAAATAACCAACAACCTTTTTAAAGGCTGAAGATGAATGTGATTATCTCCTCTCAGAACTTGTCCTCTTTCCCAAAACCAAGCAAGAAAGTAACACCTCAATAGATTATTTTAATGCTTGCATCATCGTACAAAATTCGATAGTGATAGTGCTCAATCACTGAAATGTTTGTGGATGCCTTCAAGATGTGTAATGTTTTTTCTTGCTTCTTGATCAAATACCCCAAAAAAGCAATAGAGAATTTTGATTCTATCCTTGTTGTCTTTTGAAGCCCCCGACTGTACCTTCTTGCCCAGAGAATGTTCCTTCCATACACAGAGAACAGTCGTAGCAGCAAACTGGGGCTCCCTCTCTCACAAGCTTGGCATAACCTGGGGAGCAACTTTCTGTACATCTTGAATAAGGCACCGTCTAAACATAAACCAAAAGATTTATCAGGGCAATATATAAATTAGAGGCAATATATAAAGAGACGTGGTGGGTCAGTGGCTAAGACTCTGAGCTTGTCGATCAGAAAGGTTGGCCGTTGGGCAGTTTGAATCCCTAGGACCACGGAATGGAGAGAGCTCCCATTACATGTCCCAGCTTCTGCCTACCAAGCGGTTCGAAAGATTGCAAAAATGCAAGGAGAAAAATAAGGACCACTTTGGTGGGAAGGTGCCAGCATTCTTTGCACCTTCAGCATTTATTCATGCCAGCCACATGGCCACGGAGACGTCTTCTGACAGTGCTGGCTCTTCAGCTTTGAAATGGAGATAAGCACTGCCTCCTAGATCCAGAAATGACTAGCACCTTTGTGCAAGAGGAACCTTTAGTTTTCAATATAACCCACAATATTACTGAAATCAACTGGCTTCCAAAAGTCAGGAGCACATTGAGCAAAATCTGTCAAGAAGTAGTGGCATGACCTTTAATTACTCTACTTGCAAGGGGCAAATGAAGAGTCATTCTCTTTCCTCTATCAATCTCCATTATACATTCCAAAACAGATTCGTTGCCTTATTCTTCTTTCCAAAGGAAAAAAGTTCCATTGCAAAAGGTGTTTCTCCTTAGAGCATGTATGAGAATGCCATAACTTGTATATATTCTTTCTCCATCTTAGCTTTCTCAGGAAACCTCCAAAATCTAGCTTTCTCTGGAGTCCCTATCTTTCTCTCCTACAACTGATCATTGTATAATCATATGTAAATGGATTTTTTTAGCTGCCCTCATTTCCCTCACCACATTCTTAATGCTATCTTCCTCTTATGCAATTCAATGGGCTAAACCCTTCCTATTCTGCATTTTCTCTCCAAGAAGCTTTTACAAAAGACAACTCATCATTTCACTGACAACTGATTTTGAATCATCAGAATATTACTAATGCTGGGAATGTTGGTATGACTGGATAGAATAAAGATAGGAAATATATTAGTAAATAATGTTAACTGTAAAGGAGGTAGTAATAACATACTCGCAATAAGATGTTCTGACTGAATGGTTGCATATGGAAGGGTTTATATTCCTTGCAGTCATCTGGTCTTTAACAGTCTTTTTGAAAGTTGTTTAGGCCCCTTGGAATTTATCTGTGCCCTCAGGGTCATGTGAATAGTGCAAATGGGTGTGGAACCTTCCTGCAATTGCTGAATCTATATCCTGTTGACAACACAGTCTTTTCAGCAGTTCCAAATCCTTCCATCCTCCACCATTCAGTCAGAAAATTCTTGGATGAGAATTGAAACATCTTCAAGGGAAAACAAAATCCAGGTGCTTTCTGAAAAAACACCTTTCGCACAACCATGACCTGGATGACTGACATAGACATTCTGGAGTTTCTCTTACTGAAAACAAATTAATTTCATGTACTATAAATTATGGCAACATATTCCAGTTTAATCATGTAGATTGCAAGTTCCGCAAAACAATGCAGCAGGTTCCAGTGTGTGACAGATTATTGTAAGACCTCTAAAGTAAAATGATATCTAATAAATTAATGAGGCTTTAAGTTCTCTTAGTTGGAAGTTATCTCAATTGGGCTCAATAAGAATTATTTCTGAGCAGAAAATTTACACATATGGAGATAAATAGGAGAGCAAAATCCAAGCAGCCTCAACTACTTTGTTAAATAAAGTTGGCCATTGGATGGCACTTTGATTGACAGAAATCTTGACTTCTGAAGAGGATTGGCTTTCTACACTCCCAATTTTCACCCCCGCATCTGATTTGTTCCGAACTGATGTCCAGTGCATGATATCAAAATCACCAACAGGAACTCCATTTTCATCAAAAGAAATCCCGTCTCTGGAAATATTTTGACGTTGGAAGTTCCTCAGGAACCTATGGAGCTGCAGAAACATAGAAAGAATATTACAATTTGAGCCTTTATTCAATGTTTTTCTTGCTCTTATTCTGCATTGGAGGTACTCTGAATAGTTCAACCTTTTCAAATCATCAAATTTGCAGGCAACACTAAGCTGGCAGGAATAGGCAACATCCAAGAAGACAAGCTGAATATCCAAAAAGATCTTTGCAAATTGGATATGGGCCCCTACCTAACAAAATAAAATTCAGCATAGATAAAAGTAAGGATTTCCACTGAGGCAAGAAAAACCAAAAGTACACGTTACAGACTATGTGAAACTTGGCTTAATGCCAGTAATTGTGAGAAGGATGTTGGAGTCCTAGTGGACAATCACTTAAATATGAACCAACAATGTGTGGCAGCAGATAAAAATGCCAATGCAATCCTAGGCTGCATTAACAGAGGGATAGAATCAAGATCACAAGAGGTTCTAATATTATTTTAAAAAGCCTTAGTAAGACCACATTTAGAATACTGCATCCAGTTCTGCTCATCAACACAATATAAAAAAG